ACTTGTTTCTATTATCTGTTGTTTTTCTTTATTCCTGTGTTGACTTATTTTATTGATTGTGTCCTGGAAATTTTTATCATAGCTACTGAATTTTAACAGATTCTTTTTCTCATTTTCAGAGATTCTTGTAGCAATCTGGCTAGCTAAATTCGTGATTTGTTTGATCATATTTTGTTGAGAAGCTGATAGTGTTGCTTCCTCAAGCGCCGTGTTTAGTTTTTCTCGAATTTGCAATACTAAGGCTTGCGTCTTATTCAGACTGTACATTGGAGTCACTTCTGAGTTTTGTATCTCAGCTACTCCTTGTTTGACATCTTGACTTGTATTAGAATCAGATGCACTCTTATCTTTAATTTCAGGTAAGGGTCCTTGTTCTTTCTCTTTTCCTTTATTTGTGTTTTTTATTTCAGTTTTATCTTTTAAATAACAAAGGATGTTTTTAATTTCTTGGATTTCAACAAGTTTTTCTTTCAATTCTGTAAAGTTTTTCTCATTCTCATTATGAGATGTTTGTTGCTGTTGTACGTTTTTGAATTCATGACTAAGTGTTTTAATCACACTAAGTTCTTGACTTACTTCTGAAATTTTGCTCATAATATCATCATAGGATGATTTTTGTAGTTGGCAATTTAATTGAAACTCTTTCACTCTTATTTGCTCACTTTGCTCACATTGGGTTTTCACTAGATTGACATTTGAATTCAATTGCTCGACTTTTTCATAAATGGCATAAGATTTTTGTCTAACAAGGTCTTCTAAGTCTAAACAAGAATTTGAAACAGATACTGAAGAAGAGTTATAGGAACCCAAATTTGACTGGTTGAACAGTCTTTGATGTTTAACCTCTTCTAGTTCATCTTCTTCTAACTTTAGGGAGTTCAGAGAAGGTGAGCTAGGAATGGAAGGATTCTCATCTAAAGGTGGTCCGGTAAAAGGAGTTTCAGTAAAGAGAATTGAAGGATGGGAATGGAACGAAGAAGTGGGTGGGGGAAGAACACTTACTGTTCCTTCTCCTTGCCCTTGCCTTTTGGGTCTGGGTCCTGATCGTGTCTCTTCATCCTCTTGACCACCAGTATCATATCGAGCAAGTTCGATGCGTTCTCGGCTAATTCGTCGATCTCGTCGTCTTGGGCTCTCTTGCGGCGCTGGCTCAAGGGTCCTGGTCTCGAGTGTTCAAAGGCTTCCATCGTATGGGGGTTGATCTGATACGGGTTGTATCCGGCCACTTTCTCGACAGTCGATCGATGACGACGACCCCCAAGGAACTCTTCGAGTTCCTTGTGGGCTTCTTTCGCCATCCCTAGGACTTGTCGAAAGGTCTGGGTGTTGTTCGCTGCTCTGGCCTCGTCAAGATTGCGTTTGAGGTCTATGATGGCTTGACACAATCGGGCTTCTTCTGCCTCGCGTGTCTGCTGGTATGACGGTCGTGGTGGAGGAGGCGGAGGCATGGGCTGATTGCTCGAGCCCTGCACTGGTCGTTGGGGTTGATAAGCTGGCGAAGGGTGCGGTGGATAGTTTGGCTGAGGATTGTAGACGGGTGAGGGGGCTGGGGGGTACTGCGCTACCGGGGCTGCTAGATTTGGGGGGTAGTTTGGCTGATAGTGGTAGCCGGCTGCCTGTTGTTGAGTCTAAAGGTAGCAGTGATTGTTTGTTAGTTCCTGATTCTTTGGAGAATCTCTCAACTAACTTTGGGTCAGGCTTACCTGATGCTGGTAATGGTTCGAATAGGTCGCCCATTGGGGTCCTCCTTGTCCCTCGTGAGACGGGTTCGGATGCTCGATTCGATTTTGTTGAACCTCTTGTACTGGCTGAGCCTGCACGGCTCGGTGGTTGTGAGCTTCTAGTGGACATAATGTAAGTTAGTACTTCAGGTTTCAATATACTTCGTTTTTATAGATTGGTACTTACGATCGTTAAGAGTTCCTGGAGCTTGACTAGCTGGGTGATTATTGTTGTTATCTTTTTTAGAAAAAAGAGTTAATCGTGAAGCGAGCAAAGATAAAAGAAATTTTTATAATTTTTTAGCGGCGATGGAGAGGGAAGAGAAAAAAAAAATCACAATCGTATCAGTAATTTGATTAAGATTTGAATTCGTATCAAGTTTCTAGCTTACTTTGATGTTGTGCGGTTAGATTGTCTGGAGGTGCTACCTGAGATCGCACCGGGTTTCTCTCGGTATTGTCGGAGCACACCAAGTCTATCTCGATATGTGCTAAAGGGTCTTGTGGGGCTGGGGTGGTCGTGGTAGAGTCGATTAAAATCGGTTCGTGCAACGTGTTACCGTAAGCGTCCTCAAATTCAAGGACCGAACCGTTGTAATTCGGTTGATCAGGTAAGGCCGGAGTAGATTGATGCGTTTGGTTCGCTTCAACCGGTGGTTGCTGAGGTGTGCCGTGGTTGGTGAGGTCGAGTGAATTGAATAAGTTGGGAAAAGACACTACAGGAATCGAGAAAAAGGAAAGACGAAAAAAAAATAAAAAAAAAATAATTGATTTGAATAAAATGTTAGTATTGATCTTGTCAACTCAAGTCAAAAAGAAAAGAAAATAGATGAGTTTTGAAGAAAGGTGGTGAAGAGAGTATAATGTGATTACTTTTGATCTTATAGATAACTTTGATAAGTTTGGAGAGTTTTTGAAAGTGAGATTGTTGATTGTGAATGAAATAACAATTAGTTCTGGTTGACACAGATTGTTCTGAGGAGCGATTGGACTCTCGATCGAAGGTCTTCTTATACGAAAGAAAGCTCTGATCGGCTTCGTTTCCAATGCGGTTTTCGAGAAGACACACTATGTATGTGACGTATGTAAGTACTTTCTGCAGAAAGATTACGAGTATCACTTATTAGATGACTCACTTTTATTACAATATGTTACCCGTAGAGTGGATTCGTTTGTTCGATTATTCGCTTGCGGTTCTAAGATGGAGTAGAATCCTACCTTGTGTGGTGTAAAGGGGTTGATGGATTCTTGGTCAGGGTGGTTTTCTTGAAATCAATTGATCTGAATTAATAAAAGAACCGTGGCTGATCGGTATTGAAAGAAATACTTACTTAGTATTTGGTCTCTCTAGAAGGCTCTTGTGATATGTCCGATCGCGGAGAAATCTCGGAATTCTTGATTTTGAGTTGTTTTCCCCCGCTGATTCTTTTCCTGCTCTGATTTTTTGATCCGTCGTCCACTTGGATATCCTGAAATTTGATCGATGTGCTTTCTCGAATTGATTTTGAGGATCTTTGATCCTTTCGATTGACTATAGCCGGAGTTGTACTATGATATCTGGATTTTCGAAATTCAGATCAATGTGTATGTAACAATTACTCGACTCGTTGGGTTTTTATTGTTTGTAATCCGGGCTTTTACTTTGCTCACGTTTTAAGAAAAATACTCGAAATAGATAATCTCAGTGTATTACTCAAAATAGAAAAAAAAATCAAGACAAGAGAAAAAAATGTAATCAAATTTTGATTGGGTATGTTATGAATTTAGTGAAAGTAGTTGTGATCAATTACTTTTACTTCTGTTGTTTGATATGGCTTAGTTCTTATCTAGGGTTATGAAATCTCACTCTTTTGGTTAAAAGGTTGAGGTTTTTGGGTTTCAACACGATGAGGCCCCCAAATGTGAGGGTTGGGTGCTCTAAAGAGGACTCAATGCTCACTAAGTGGGTACTAGATGGTGGTTATTGTTTGAATATCTATCTTTTATATTTCACTTATAATGTAATTACAAAGGAAATGTATGAAAGATAGAGAAAATGAAAGGGGGACTGGTCTGTTTGGATAAATCCAGACAGACTACAGTTAAATGACTCCTTAAAAGGAGATTTATTAAATATAATTATAATTAATTATAATTGAAAACTGGATCCAAGGTTTTCCTTCAAACTTCTAGTTGACAGGTTGAAGAGTGAGGTCTAGATCACCACACTGGTTGTTCTTATGGTCACCAACCTGGGGTTGTTCTTATGGTCACCAACCAAAGTGCTTGTATGTAGGTCACTAGCCTTGGGTTGATTTGAGGTCACCAACCTAATTTGATTTCTACTTGGGGGAAGTAGAGGATCCAGAGAGGAATGAAGATTGTATTACCTACTTTTAATCAGGAAGCTGATTAAAGTTGATGAAGCTTATCACTAGTCTTATTTATATATAAGACTTTTGATGTGTACTTCAATTGAACTTTAATTGTTCTTTAAAAGTAGTGGGTAAATATTTCTTAGGGAGGAAATCTCTGAAGGCTGAGAGAGAAGAGCTTTATATACTCTTCTCTCCAAACCTAACTGTGGTGATATTTGCTTATATCACTACTGTGGTTTAGTGTTTAATTAGTACTATTAGTTATGGTTATCACTAATGCTACATAATTACATATGCCTGTTATGTATATTATGTAGTATAAGCATTTTAACTCTTGACACTGAGTTATGAGGTGTAAATAATGTTTTATTACATATTACATATGATTTTACATGTACTTGTATATGTAATTAATGTTTATATGTATTTTATTACATGTTACATGTGTTTTATAAGCTGTATGTACATGTAATTAGTTGTCTAAAGGTGGTTGTCTACGTTACAAGTTAGTCTTTGGGTACATACATATGTACCCAGGGCTGACATCTTGTATGTAATAATTGAGCTCTCCTTTGTTCTAATGGATCAGTCATATCTTTACATTCTAAAATTGTTGCTTTATATCCTTCAATCTGTGGTAACAATTCGGCAGAAATCCCTTTTCTTCTTCATGTTTTTGACTGGTATCGACAAAAAATCAAAAAAAAATCAGTTATTCCAAGAAAAACACAATCATTCAAAAAAGAAAATCACTCAACTCTAATTCAGCATTCTTTTTCCTAGCTTTAGAAATCCTTTCTATAAGGATATCACGTTGGTTTTGTAAATCAGTTAAAGATTTTTCTAATGGATTTGAAACTAATGGACTTTGTTCAGTTTCAAATAAAATAAAATTGATCAATCCGCTTAAGATTTGTCTATATCAATCTGTAGTTGGATTAAGTAAATCACGGTCTGAAAAATCATAGATTGCTGCACATCTCATTAATTGCACTATTGCATCTTTAAAAACACCTGTAAACAATCGATATTTATAAATTGTCTTTGAACCCAAAAAGACCAAAACCAGAATCAATTAGAAAGAATCAACTTGAATTGAAAAGGGTTATCAGAAAGAAAGCCTTCAAAATTTCTTACAGGATGATGAACAGTAAGTAAAGGTTCTTCAATTGCATCATAAAGATATGCTCTATTAATATCACATAAACCTGATAAGACCCATTTGAATATGGAATGAACTTTGATTGGGTTGGGTGTATTCAATTCATCTATGGTTAAGTCAATTGGGCAACCAAAATCTTTGAAAGTTGTGATTATGTCATCTGGACTTAGAGTTGGAAATGACATTTTTGGAGTTGAAGCATGTGGTTTCTTGAGATGTGTTGGTTTTGGATTATGTTCTTGGTTTTTGATCAATCTCGATTGTGGAAACGCGGGAATTCTATGTGTACACTCCAAGACCTTGAGTCACATGGTGCATACTCAGACCTGAGTGACTATGTCTTGGGATTCCTCGCAGTGAATTAAGCAATCCTTTTACAACACTGAAAATGATCTTATAAATTGATTACAGGTGTTTTGAAAATAAAAGTGGCAGTCTTTGTTTTTCATCTTTTTTTTCATATCCATGGTTAATCTGTTTTACCTGATTCCGTCATTCATCTTGATTTGGAGCAGATGAGTTCAAGCCTGGTGAAACCTTGGCATCAAGATCTTTGTTCAGTCTTCCGAATTTGACCTTAGTTGTAAAGTTAAAAAACACGGATATGAAAAGAAAAAAAAATGAAAACAACAAAAGTGATCTTTATTTTTGAAATTCATTAAGGAAATTGCAGAATTTTGTTTTTATCAAAGCCGATATGTATAAAAGTCAATTTGTATCAAACCGGGTATGTATCAAAGCCAATATATGTGAAAGCAGATACTCTTGAAACCCAGATTCTTTTTTGATGCATATTACTAATTAAAGTTTGATTGGATTTTGAAATTTGATAATTCCAAGATGCCTTGCGTTAAATCTACAGATCTTTTCAAAGAGGACCCCGGAAACTCAAAGCTTGATTTTCATGCGAGATTTGAAATGAGCTTTTGGGTTGTGAGTTTCCAGAACGTTGTACTCGCAGTCCGATTGGTTCTGATGGGTTTTACCGAATTAGAATGAGAAATTGTTGCAGTGGCGTTTTGGTTTTCCAAAAACTCCCCAATCCAGAATTTTTGAGATCCAAGGAATTGCTTCAACAAGAGTCAAGGCTGCTTCAGTTGACTTCGAGGTTCATTCAGCTTTAGCTCAATGGCGACAGGGGAATGGACCTTTCGGCCATGGCCATACGGTTTTGACAAATCATGGCCTTTGCTAGACTTCACAGTTGTGGAAGGCATGCAAATCCTTGCGTTAGCAAATCAAGATTCTTTGATATCTGGAGTGCTTGCTAAACTGAGGGACATTTCCCTCCACTTGGCGGATCCAGTGGCTAAGCTTTGAAGTGTGCCAAGAGGGGTTTCAACAAAGGAGGTTGTTTATCTCAAGAGAATTTTGAATTTCATTCTTTTTATCACTAATATTCTTCCCATCTTGATGCTCCGATTAGAACCATAATGTCATTTTTCTTTTTTTTAAAGTGCTTTGATTCCACATGACGCACTAGCTAACATTTTTGTGTGTAATGTAACTACCGTACAAATTCTTGATATGTCTACTTATTTGATCCGGACTAACAAGCCATCACAACAGTCTTCCATTGAAGTATCGCGCCCCAAAATTATACGCACAGCAATTAAGATAAGGATAGGAAGAAATGATGAGATAGGCCATAAGAAAAAAAAATAAAGAAAAGTTTGGCATAAGGTTATCTTTTTGTTTTTTAGTTGTCTAAGTATGTTTTCAGATGAGTAAATCTATTTGTGTCTTCTATGAATTTTGCTAGGTATACGAATACCACCGGGGTGTCTAATAATTTAATTGCTGAATTTATATCAACGTGAATCTCTTCTTCTTTGAGTTTTCTTCTAAATGTCTGTCGTTGTTTGGTGAATCTTCTGCAAAAGATTAGGAAATGATGTGACGTCTCCTTCACTTTGCATACTTCACATGTGTTGTCGTCTTCAACTCCTATGTGATGTAGGAATTGTTGTAGTGGGCTGTGTCCGCATCTTAACTGAAAGATTGCGGCTGCTTGGCCTTTTTCTAATGTATTCAAAGTGTCAGCAATGTATCTCCCTTTTGTCTTGAATATCTTTGATGGAACTGCTCCCCTTTTGAAGACTTCTTTTGTGTGTCGTAAAAGTCCTCCCAAGCTGATTGGTAAGGAGACCACGTCTGTAACATCTTCTGCCGCCTCTCTTGCCGCTTGATTGGCCTTTTTGTTGAGTTCAATTCCCTTGTGTCCTGGTGTCCAGTACAGGGTGATCTTCTTGTTTGATGGGATTGTTCGGTGAGACTGTCGTATCATCTTTTCCAGGTATTGCAGCGTTGACGGTTGTACCGGGTTATTCATTAGTTCTAATGCTGCTTGACTATTGCTAAAAATTGCCAACGAAGTGTATTGGTCGGGTTGTGTCACGATGATTGTCCTGTATTTTAGAATACTTAATATAAGTGCCATTGTTTCTGTCTTGTAATTAGAAATACCGCAAAGTGGGCCTTAGGACTGCTTCGTCACTCCATCTTCCATCGCCACCGCTGCACCTGCTCCAGTGTCCGGGATGAAAGAACCGTCTGTGAAGACAACACAGGCTCCATTAGCTTTCTCTTCCTCAACTTGTTTGGGTATTCTTTTCTTGACTATATCTTGTTTCTCTCCCGTGTTCTCCACTGTCCACAACGGTTCCTTCCAAGGAGGATCCGGGTAAGGATGTATTGTTTCTAAATTCGCATTATTGGGTAGTAACATGTCAGCTTTGCGTAATATCCTGTGTATAGGGCTTAAGAGGTTACGTGGCATGTGAGTCAATTCGTTGTCCAATATTCTTCTTGTCGGATGAGTCCTAGGAGCTGTCAGCCTCTTGTAGGCAAAGTTGTGGTTATATTGTATTGCTGAGTCTTTAAATGAAATCATGTTAGCGTCATGTGTCATAATGTCCATTGGTGAGCTTTTAAAAGCCCCTAATGCCAATCTATTAGCTGCGTTTGTAGTAATTGGAAAATCTTTATTACTTTACTCTCTGTTCTAGTGTTGAACCACACCACACTCCCAGTGGGAATCTGTGGTTTGAGGACCGCCATGATCAGCGTTTTAGTTTCTTTAGGATTTGTACCCCAATCACTGCGTCCACCACCTCCCTTCTCGACGTCGAGAAGGGTAGAATGGTGAGAGTTTGGTGCAAGAAGGGTCTTTTGAAAAAAATCGTTTCTTCCACTCATTCAAAACCTCAGCAACCCTAAGCAGCCCTAAGCAGCCTCTATTTGAAAACCTGGACAGCTCAGGCCTGCACATCAGTGTGCCGCCTGATGTTCTTCAACTGAACAATTCCCCCCTTGGACCCCATTCAATCAATATTCCTCCGATGGATGCATTCCAAACAAGATGAAGGTACTTGCGGCGTACCTGGCCTTTACTCAGGGTTTCCAATATGAAATTGTGAACTGCAAGACCTTTGAGTTCTTTTTTGTCCATCTTAAACGGTATCAAGTCAAGGAATTTGATGAAAGTTCAGTACACAGTGTTCTTTTACGTTTGTAACTCGATAGTCTACACCTGGGCAGTTTCATCCAACAGATAAAGACAGCATTTGAATAGCTAGATCACAAATCGGAATTGTCTCACTTACAAATTCCCAGTTTCAAACAACTTGAGTCCTTGAGCCTTTGGGAACAAAATGCAAATAGGTTTCAGTGGTTTCAGATATGTTACACATTGTACACAGTGCTTTGGAGAACTTAACCATGCCACAACTAATACCTAAACCACTTCTAACTTAATCAAACAGCAACCAACCAATTCCGATCACGGTCTCAAATGGAAAAGGTTACATTTGGAATATAGATGGTAACGTTCTTTCTATTCTCATCTTTTCTAAGACCAACATGATTCTCATTTTGACACGTTTTTCATTGATCTGTTTGTCATAGATATCGCTCAATTGAGAGTAGATCATCATATTTGTGGTATGTTGACTGGTACTTTACCACAACTTGCACAAAAAAACGTATT